AGCCAGTCTCACTAATATCAACACACCAATCCCCATTGCCCCAGTTACTGCATCAACTTACTGCAACTGGAGTCTCACTCTCCTACACTGTCCGTCCACCCTTCTGAGAATGATGTCCTTCTCCAAGGATGTCTTTCCTGGCTACATGCCCAAAGTAAGTGAGGCAGAGCTTCAAAATCCTAGCCTCAAAGGAGAGACTTGGTGTCACCCTCTCCAAGACAGATCTATTTGTTTTCTTGGAAGTTCATGGTATGTTCAATACTCTTCTCCAGCACCACGACTTGAAGGCATCTATTCTTCTTCTGTCATCCTTAGTTATTGTCCAACTCTCTGAAGCATAACAAGTAATTAAGAAGACCATGGCCTGGATTAGGTGCACTTTAGTCTCTAGAATGATATCGTTGCTCTTATGTCCCCTCAATTTTTATACTGCAGTTGTGTATTATTTTAGGTATTACTAATATGCTTATTGCATTGAGTATACCGATGTTAAGCATACTATGCCTCCTCTCTATATATTTAGGTCTTTTTTATTTCTTTCATCAATATTTTTTAAATTTTAACTATATAGATCCAGTACATATTTTGTTATATTCATACCTAAGTATTCAGTTTTGTTTGGAGCAATTATAAATTGTTATTTTTGTTATATGCTGTCAAGTCACTTGAGACTCATAGTGACCCTTATTACAACTGCTCTGAACTCTGTTCTATCCTGTGCCAGTCTTTTTGTCTTTGACATATCTACCCCCATTTCCCTAGTCACTGAATCAATCCATCTCATTGAGGGTCTTCTTCTCTTGGAAGTCTGCCCCTTTGCCCTCCCAAGAATGATATCTCTCTCTAAGGACTGGTCTCTCCTTGCAACATGCACTAAGTAAGTCAGAAGAAGCATCAGAATCCTTGCTTCCAAGGAGCAGACTCGTTTCACCCTCTCCAAGACAAACTTGTTTGTTCTCCTAGCAGTTCATGGTATATTCAATCTCTTCTCCAGCACCAAAGCTCAAAGGCATCAATTCTCCTTCTATCATCCCTAGTCATTGTCCAGCTTTCTGACACATAATAAGTAACTGCAAAGACTGTGGTCTGTATCAGGCAGAGCTTAGTCTCCAGAATAACATCATTACTCTTCAGTACTCTGGAGAGGTTCCTGTTAACAGACTTCCAATGTTATCCATCTTTTTATTTCCTGGCTGCTGGTACTAAGAGTATTTATTGTGGAGCCAAGCAAATTGAAGCTGTCAACAATCTCAATCTCTACTATCTATCAAGATGCTGCCAATCAGCTCAGTGGTGAGAATCTTTGTTTTCTTGATGTCAAGCTTCAATATTATTTTAAATATCATATTGTCACTCATTAACAATATACTTATACTCACTTACTATCTCATTATCTAACATTTAGAATTTATGACAGAAATAAAAATCTACTTCCACCATTTTAAGGCTAGATAGGACTCATGTGTATGAGTGAATGAGTGTTTCTTTCCTGGACACCAAGTCCTTGATGTCTTCCATCTCACCTATAGCTTGGATTCAAAGCAAGTTAAAATAAAACAAAATGTCAAGACCTTGGTCCATTAACCTGTGTGTGTGTGCCCCATGTTGTTGTTGCTGTTGTTAGGTACATTGAAGTTGACTGTGACTTACCGGTGCAAAAGATTGAAACCTTGCCCGACCCTGTGCTACTCTCACAATCTCCACTGTGTTCTTGCACACAAATCTACTGTGTGTTACACAGCCTTACCTACCCGCTCAGGCTGGTGGCTATCCTGCACTCCAAGCAGATCTGAAGCTTTAGGTCTCAAATTTTTGGGAGTGCATCAAAATGCCGAGCCAGGGTGTGCAGTAGTCACTTCCCTGCAGACCATGATATACAACCATTTTCAGACTTAGATGTGCTAGGGCCAGAAGGTGGTGGGCCCAGTGGATGGGCGATTTTATAGAGAACATTTAGAATTTGTGACTGAAATAAAAACCTACTTACATCACTTCAAGGCTAGAGAGGACTCATGGTTCAGGGTAGGGCTCCTGGCTGCAAATCTTGACCCAATCAGCCTTGATTGTGGTTTGGAATAACACAAGAAGCAGCCCCACCACTACCCTCCCACAGGCAAAAGCCAAGGTGCAAGTGAACTACAGACAGTTGGCGATGAGGGAGGGGCAGACCCGGAAGCCCTCTGATCCAACTTCTGGACCCTTAGAGCTGCACGTCATAGACAAAGTTCCAGGTAGTGCTAATACCTGCATAACAACCTGGTCTCAGGACCTAACCTTGTCAAGGGGCTTAGAAGATGGTTTCTGTGTATTGATCTTGTATTCTATAGCCCTCATGAGCTCATTTACTAGTTCTTTTTCAGTGCTTGCTTCTGACTCCAGAAAACCAAATCCATTGCCATTAAGTTGATTCTGATTGATAATAATCCTTTGGTTCGGATAGAATTTCCCCATATGGTTTCCAAGGCTGTAGCTTTTTATGGAAGCAAACAATACCACATCTTCCTCCTGTGGGTTCAAACCACTGACCTTTCCAACCTTTCTGCTAGCAGCCGAGCACTTAACCCCTATGCCATGAGAGCTCCTTGGTCAACTTCCAGTCCACAAAATTCTACCTCAAAAAGGTTCCCAAGTTCTCTCCCTGGCCCACACCATCAGGTTAAAACATGGGGAAGGGCAGTGAGAAGGGGCAGAGCCTCACAGCGTGAGCCAGCTGGGACTGAAGGGCTCAAGGACTCTTGCTCAGTTTCTCTGGCATCTATACAAGGCAAGGCCAGAAGAGATAGTCTTGTCTCTATCCCAACAATTCCACACATACCAGATACCACTGAATTAATGTGTAACTATGTACTCACACTACTTGATATACTTTACAGAAACTAACTCACTTAACTCTCAGTTATGCCGTGATTGCTGTTTACAGATAGTGAATCTGAGGCATGGAGAGACTGAACAGCTTATCTCAGTTCAAAATGCTGATAAAGGCCAGAATCTGAACCCATTTCTGTGGCTCCAGCTGTGCCCTTTTCCACTATACCACTGAACTTCTCAGGAGGGGCTTTCCAGTCAGGCCCATCTGAACTATAGAGAAAGGGCATACGGGCTAGAGTGGGCTTGCCCTTTATGTCCCAGCTCTTCTCATCGCTCCATCAGGTCCACTCCCTCTTCGACACTCTGCCATACATTCTTAGCCCTCTCTTTAGCCTGGATGTCACTCAGGGAAGAAAGAGCTTCGCATTTCAAACCTCCCTCTAAATGGACTTCAGAGGAGTACCTTAATCTTGGTCCTAGCTCCCAAGGAAGCTTTTCACATCCTGCCTGGCTTGCGGTGATGGCTCTCTGGACCAGCCTCCCAACCCGAGCACTGTATTATCTGGCTCAGACCACTCAGGGGATCCCACACCAACCATCCTAGAGTCATTCAACATGAAGGCCAATACTCACAGTCCACCCGGAGCTCAGCTTTGGTGGAGGAGACGCCCATGCTATTTTCAGCCAGGCAGCGGTAGACGCCCATGTCTGATGGCACCACCGCCATGATAATGAGTTGGTGGCCACCCTGTTGATCTTCATTTATCATATAGTGGTCATCTTCTTCCAGCACCTTCCCATCTTTGAACCAGCGCACACTGGGCACTGGCTGGCCTGTTACCACGCAGTCGAAGCTCACAGGATAGCCATCTTGTACTTCTTGGTTCTGGAGCTCAGTCAGGAACACTGGAGCTGAGGAAGGGCAAGCATGTAGAAGTTACTTGTAATACCCTCAGTCTTCTTTCATTATTATGATTTTAATGCAAGTTTACAGAAATGTTGGGTTTTCTTTCATTCATTCATTCATTCATTCTTGCACATTTTCCTCCCTTCCTCTCCCTTCCCCCTCCCCCAGTCTACTCGGCAATGCACTTCTTGTTCCAGATGGTTCTCATACATATAATGCCTAATCAGATATTCCTTTCTGGCAGTTCTTCCTCTCATCTGCTCCAATGCAGCATTCATTATTTATCCACTCTTCTTATTCTCCCCCACTCCCTATGTCAATCCTATTTTATAATAGAAATGTTATGTAATATTTGTCTTTCTGTGACTGAGATATTTCACTCAGCCTAATAATGTCTTCCAGGCTCACTCATGCTGCGTAGTGTTTCACGATCTCACTGTTTTTCAATGCACATAATATTTCATTGTGTGAATGTACCATAGATTTTATAACCATTCATTTGCTGATGGGCCCTTGAGTTACCTCCATCTTTTTTGCTATTGTTAATAGAGCAGCAATAAACATGGGTGCATATATATCTGTTTGAGTTGTGGCTCTGGTTTCTTTAGGGTATATTCCCAGGACTCAGCACCCAATCTGAAGTCAAGCCAATCATCTTAGCTTCCACATAAATACATCGCACTGTCATTTCCATCATTTGACTTTGCTCCTAGGCCCTGAAAGCTAAAAAGAATATTGTCTCTGTCCACTGACTGTCTCTCTTATCCCCGCTCTTTAAGGAGAATGCTCTCCTTGGAAACTTGGTTCCCAAGCTATTGTGACATGAGAAAACTAGAAGACCAGAAATGGAGAGAAAAGGAAAGGATAAGGGAAGGGTAAAGGCTTCAGGGACTCAGAATCCAGTGGAAGCAAGTGAGGAATCTGAAGTCAAAATGACTTTAGGAGTAAGGGCTTCAGAAAGAAGTTTCAAGAAATGGCAGGCAGGGTTATTAACCTACCAGTGTTCCTAGGAGATACAAATAAACAGTGAAGTGAAGCTGCTGGACTGTACTTATCTGAATAGGAAATGTTCAGATTGGATCGTATGAAACATCACCTTTTAGATTTGTTACATCTCAAACTATCAATGATAAAAACTAGGAAATTTACTTGTCAATTTTACAGGTGAAGAAATAGAGATTCAGAGACGATCTGGCTCAAAGGCACATAGCTAATAATAGGCAAAACTAAGATTCAAGTTCAGGTCTACCTAACCTCATAGTTAGGGCTTTCCTCAACTCTCTCCCCAAAGTCTGTAGCATCTTTGAAGAACCCGATACTGAAGTGCAGATTATACCCTCGGTTTTCAGCCAACATTGACCACTACCAGCCTTCCCTCTAATCCTAGCTCCCTATCCCTGACAGATCACGACACTCACCAGTGTCTGAGGTCAGCAGGCTGGGTGCTGGCCCCTGAACCACCGTCGGGGCCACCTTGCCGATGCGCATCTCCACCCCACGAGGCCCTTGCTCCACAAGGTTGATCTCCACTCCAATCCCCATGGTGCCAAACATCTCCTTGAAGTGGGTGGTAGCCCGGCGGGCCTCGGCCAGGGCCTCAAAACGGATGCAGACGAAGTGCTCGTCTTCACGGTACGTCTGCCAGTCCCCAGGCTGCTCCAGCTCCACGCTGCCTTCCTCAGCACTGAAGAAGAGCTCCTCGTCCGAGACCTCGGCTGGGCCCTTGGTGCGGAAGAGCCGGTGCAGCCGCCGGGCAGCCCTGCGGAAGGCGTCATCCAGCTCACCCCCTGAGGAGCTCTCGGCTTCGCTCTCTGTCCCGCTGACCACCACACAGCCACTGTGGGCTGCTTGGCCAAATTTGTTGCTCACTTTACAGGTGTAGCGGCCAGCATCGGTGCGACCCAGGCCCGTGATGAGCAGTGAGCAGGTGCCATCACTGAGCTGGTCAAGGTGATAGTGCCGCCCATCAGCCAGCTCCACACCATCCTTCAGCCAGCAGGCTCGAAAGTCTGCCTTGCTGGCCACCACACACTCCAAGCGCAGGGCATCCCCCACCAGTGCCTCCGTGTCCGCAAAGGTACGGCTGAACACAGGTCCTTCCTGCTGCTTCATCTCCTTCCGGACTTTGTAGCCTTTAAATGCTGCCTGGATCTTCACAGCTGCCTTGTCCAAGGATGGGTCACCCAGGTCCTCAGCACTCAGGTCACCAGGTGGGGGGTGGACTGCAGCAGGGGACTCCTGTGGCTTCTGCAGCTTCTGTGGCTTCCCAGAGACAGCTGGTGGCGTCATGACCTGCATGACAGAGCCCAGGACCTCAGAGTTGGGGAGAGTTCAGGTACCCTTTGCCCACACCCCATGAGCCCTGATGGCTTAGTGGTAAGGAGTTGTGCTGCCAAGCCAAAGGAACATGGTTTGAATCCATCAGCTGCCTCAGGGGAACACTGGTGAACTAGGGGAGATCTGTGCCAACCTCAGCTTTCAGAGTGCCTTTATCTGAAGGTAAACAGTTATTTGCTGACCCTTTCCAGAAAATACACAAACATGGATATGGCTGAGCAAAACACAAGCCTAAGGTGGATTCCAACACTGGATGACTTGCCCCAACTTTCAGGTTCTTAGGGCATCACTGAGTAGCATTTAGAACAAATACAATTATGCATGGCACGCAACAACGATTTACTAAGGGTGAAAATGTGGCAGGCACTGAAGTGGATGTAACATCCCAATCTGCCATCACCTCTCTTCTGTGTCTCTGCACATGGCACTCACTGGGCATCGACTGCATGGGGAAATACTGAATGGACAGCTGGAGAGAACAATGGACAGAGGGTAAGTGGGTAGGGGAAGGGCTAGATGGACAGGCTTGGGGTGGGGTGAAGCAGATGGCCTAGTGAAACAGAAGATGAAAGTGTGAGTCTATTCTTGGTGAGGGGAAGCAGATGATATGGGCAAGGGGTGAGTGGGTAGGTGGACAGAAGATGACCACACGTGTAGGATGGGTGATGAGGCAATGAGAGGGCAGTGGGGAATGTATGGATAAAAGGTCAAGGAGAGGAAAGGAACAAGGGGAAAAAAGACCTGGAGGAATGGAAGAATATACCATGCTCATGGATAGGAAGACTCAATATCATGAAAATGACAATTCTAACAAAGGCAGCATACAAAATGCAATCCCAATACAGATATCAATTCCATTCTTCAATGAGATGGGAGAGGCTATTTCCAATTTCATCTTGAATGGAAAGAGACCCTGAATAAGTAAAGCACTTCTGAAAAAGAGAAACAAGGTAGGAGACATCGCACTCTCTCATTTCAAATTCACACAGCTGTGGTGGTCAAGACAGCGTGGTACTGGTACAGTGACAGACACACGGATCAATGGGATAGAATTGAGAACCTAGAAATAAGCTCATCCACTATGGTTAACTGATTTTTTACAAGAAGACAAAATCAGTTAAGTGGGAAAATGACAGCCTTTTTAAAAAAATGGTGTTGTAAAATTGGAAAACTATCTACAGAAAACTCAAGCAAGACCCACACCTCACACCAAACAAAAAAGCTAACTCAAAGTAGATCAAGGACTAAGGAGTATCCAAAGAACTTCATCAGAGAAAAGCTTGGAAGAACTCTAGACGTTCTAATCCACAACATGAACAGTCTTCCAAGCATCTTGAAAAATCTACAACCAGGAGACAAGAAAATAGATGAAAGGGACCATCTAAAGAATCAAATTCCTATGCACATCAGAAAAACCTTTTCCAGAGGGTCAAAAGGAAACAGTTTTTACATGGGAAAAAGTATTCGACAATGACATATCTGACAAGAAATTCATATCTAAAATTCATACTCCAACAACTCAACAAGAAAAAGGTAAACAATTCAATTCCAAAATGGGCACAGTATATAAATAGACACTTCACCAACGAAGACATTCCGATGGCAAACAAACATATGAAGACATGTTCAAAATTCCTAGCTATCAGACAGATGCAAATCAAAATAACTATGATATCATTTTACCCCAGCAACAATAGCAAAGTTCAACAGAGCAGCAAGCAAACAACAAACACTGTTGAGGTTGTGGGGAGACTGGAACCCTTAGCCACTGCTAGTGGGAGTGTAAAATGGTGCAACCACTATGGAAGGAGGTCTGTCACTTTCTCAAAAAGTTGGAAACAAATATTATTGGACTTAGCAATTCCATTACTGGAAATATGCCTAACGAAAGCAGAGCTGCCACCGACACAGATGTACGCACACACCCATGTTTATTGCTGTGTTATTCACAATATCAAAGAGGTGGAAGTAACCCAAGTGCCTATCAAAAAATGAATGAATAGAAAACTTATGGTATATTCACTGAATGAAATACTACACAGCACTGAAAACAATGAACTTTTAAAACATTACACAACATGGGTGACTCTAGAGGACATTAAGCTGAGTGAAATATCTCAGTCACAAAAGGACAAACACTGCATATAACACTACTGTTATAAAACGGGACTGATATGGGGGTTGAGAGGATAAGAGGAAAAAAAATAGATAGATAATGAATGACATTGCATTGGAACATATGAAGGAAAGATCTGTTTGAAAGGAATATATAATTAGGCATTACATGTATGACAACAGTGCAGAATTAGAGGTGCATTGCAAAGTGGGCTGGAGGAGGGGGAAGGAAAGGGAAGGGAGGAAATTGTGCAACAATGAACAAATACATTTTTTAAAAAAGAAAATGAACTAAGTGAGGGGAAAAGGAGAGTGGAAAGAAAATGTGCAACAATGAATGAATGAAAATCCAACTTTTTTGTAAACTTTCATTAAAGTCACAATTTAAAAAAAAGGAAAAGAGAGGAATGGACAGATGGATGCAATGTGTCTAAGTAGGTGGATAAAATAGTGAGTAGGAAAGTGAATGCCTCAACGACTGGGTGATTGCATGAACAGATGCACGAGTGAATGAAGCGTTGAACAAATGGATAGATAAAAGTGTGCGTGAAAGAGCAAGCAGATGACAGGAGAGCGAAGCACGAGAAAACTGAACAGCTGGAGTGGAGAGACGAGGAGGTAGGTGAAGGGGTGGCGGAAAGTGGATGCGATGATGAGCAGGTACAGGGGAGAATATGAGTAGGTGGATGAGCAACTTTGTGGATGGACATAGAAAGGATAAGAGGGTGGTGGGGAAAGAGACATAAGGAGGTGAGGGCCTAACAATGGGTACATGAATGCGTGAACAGGGAGGTACTATGAATGGAAGGGCAGGTGAAGCTAGTAGGAGAGTGGATGGGAAGACCAGTAGGTTAAAGAACTGATGGGTGGATAGAGGGTGAAGAGATGAAAGTGGGTGAACGATGTAACAAATATTTGATAAACAGATGCCCACTTCAGTTCTAACCCACTGCAATCAACCCTCCATAGTGTTTCCAAGGCAATGTATTTTTACAGGAGGAAACCACTGACATTTCTCCTACAGCATAGCTAGGGATTCAAACCGCTGACCTGCTGCCTGATACATTATGCACTATGCTGGTGAGCAGGTATAGTAATGGTTGATGGTTAGCCAGCAGATGGATGAAGCTCTGAGACCCTCAGGGCTCCCCCGTTGGCCAAGCTGGAGGCTCACCTTGCTGACAGGAGTTGGGACACCAGGCCGCCCAGCCTTCTTGAGGTAGGTAATCAGTGAAGGGGTGCCCGCCCGGGACTCATCGTCGGAGCTGGTGTGTGAGAGGTCAGCCTCGCCCGTACGGGCTAGCTCATCAGCTGTGGAGTAGTCCTCGGAGAGGACCCCCTCCTCCGCCTCCTGCCGCAGGCGCTGCAGGCGCCCATCCTCTTCAGGCAGCTCACTGATGGAGTCCAGGGTGGGCTCCCGGCTCATGCGGCGCTTCCGGGCCAGGGCCTCCCACAGCAGGTGCAGGTCGCCCTCTTGGGCTGCCTCTGGAGGGAGGCTGGGCTGGGACGGAGTCTCACCCTCTGAGCCTGCAGTCAGCACCACTGAGGAGGACAGTGGGTGGTTAGGCAGGTCAGTATATTTTGCTACTGACCAAAGTGTGGTCAGCACCAGCAACTTTTCCCTACATCTCGGCTCCCCTGTCTGGGCCATTAGATAAGTCTAGACGACACAATCTCAATTTACAGAGTACTCAAGGCCTGTGATTGTCCTTCCTAACCTCAGAATCCCCACATAATACCTCGTACTGGCCATCGAATGGGCAAGCTATAGTCAGGACAGTGCTGTCTGGCCTTTCCTGCCTCTGTGAGACACATGGCCTGGAGGGCACACAGCTTCAACTTCAGAGGCCAGCCCTGCTTGGGCCCCGACTCCCTTTTGCAACTTCTGACCATGTTGACTTGCCTTTCATATAATTATCCTCACAAGCATGCTGCAACCTCCTCCAGGAAGCCTATCTGGATTTCTCCCTACACACTGCAATCACAGAGTTCATCACCCTGTAGGCTACCTGGTGTTTGTCTCCCTTCCTAGAAACACGGATTTATTTTTTTGGCTGACTTAATGAACCTCACAATTGGATATGCAAGGTCCTCAACACTCCCACGTAAGACACAAAAAGACACAACAGGTCAGGTCTATTCTAAAACCCAGCCCGCACAGCAATCACAGGAAAGCAGGTGACAAGCACTGACACTTGTTACAGATAAGAAACAGGGGCAGTGAGTTCAAATCCCAGGTACCACAGCCACATTGGCCAGCCTGCTCTGACTACTGCCTGCTGCTGATGGTCTTAGAGAAAGTCGCTTTTATAGGAATGATGGTGGCCAAGTTCAGGGAGTGAAAGCGGCCTGACATGATGGGGCCAAGACCCAAGGGACGTGCATGTAGCCTGGGCACCAAAGATGAGGGATATGAGACCATGGCTGAGCATTGTAGAGTCTACCCCAACACCCTCTTGGCCTCAGGACCCTCGTTCAGGGGCCTCAGTGTCCCTCCCCGAGAGAACAGATGTCAAGTTCCTCTGTCCCGGAAGGCTGCCCCTCACTCCAGCCCTTGCAGGACTCACCCTGGAAGGTGGTAGTGGCTGTTGGAGCCTGGCCTACAGCTGGACTGCAATGGTATTCGCCCTGGTCCTCTGACGTGAAGTCTCGGATGACCAACGTCTGCTTCCGGCCCTGGGTGATGACTTCAAAGCGGCCACCAGGCTGGATACGCTCTGTACCTTTATGCCAGGTGACCTTTCCGATCTCAGTGAGCACTTCACACTCCAGACGCACTTCCTCACCGGCTGCCACCTCCCGACTCACGGGGGGCAGGGGGGCAGGCTTGGGCTCCAGAGGCTCTGTGGGCAGCAATGTCCAGACACAGAGAACAGAGGGCAGCCCATGTCAGTGAAAGTATGCCATAGGACTTAGACCTCGCCCTCCCTGGGACTCAGAGGAGCCTCTGCTATCAGAGGTGCCTCCTTAGGACTCACAGGGGGTGGGGGTGGGGATCTTCTCAGCAGGAGGAAGCTTGGACTTCACAACAAGAATATTCTGCAGCCTCCTGGCCTAACTACCACCTGGTCATCACATGCAACAACAAGGCCTCAGGGCAGGTGTTTAAGATGGGGACCGGCCATGACAAAGCCAATCCTCTGTGGGAGGGGAGCTGTGACTCACCAAGCTTCACCATCTGGGGCAGGTGCACGGGCTCCCCGGCACCCGCTGGGCCCACAGCTGCGACACGGAAGCGGTATGTCTCCCCAGGGGCCAGGCCATCCACCACACACTCAGGCCCTGGCACCAGCTCATGGCACAGCTGCCACTCTCCTGTGGCCGCTGCTTTCATCTCCACCCGATAGCCACAGAGGCCACCACCACCGTCACTGGTCGGAGCCACCCAGGACAGGGTCACAGACCGGCCACTGCGGCCCACCACTTCCGCATCCTCCGGGGGGTCCGGGAGGCCTGCAGACGGAATGTCCAAGGAGCACATGAATGGAGAAAAGATAGTAACCTGCCTGATCAAACACCCACGATGACAGCCCCTCAGCTGAACCCAGAGTCTAGTCCCAAGTGTCTGAGGTCAGGTAAGGTGTGCGACTGTGTCTGGTTCTCTGGCCTGTACTGAGTTCTTATGAGCCCAAAGGGGCAGAGGAGGGCAGCATCTCTGTGCGGCACCTCAGGGCAACTCAGTTCAAGAGTCTGCGTCATTGAGCCCAGCTCAGTGCAGGGGAGCCCATGATCCTCCAGAAGCCTTGGGGCATCATGGGGCAAGACTGAAGTCACCAGGACAAGCCTGGCACCTGCTGCTTTTGCAGGACTCTGTTCAGATGGCCCAGAGAGGAGGAAAGATGGAATCACTGGGCCATTCTTATCAAGAGTGGCAGGTTCCCACCACTGTAATTTCCCCTGGGCTAGCCAGCAGCATCCCTCCCAGGGCCCAGGCACTGCCTGCTTGACGCCACCATCCCTTACAGGCTCAGGACCCTCAGGACTGGCTGAGGTACTTGGTGAGGGGTGGGCCTGAGGACATTCCACCCTGTCTGCACGCCTAGTTTACCCCTGAAGCCAGATGAAGAGGCAGCTCCAGTCCTCAGCCCAACTGCTTGAGCTCCAGCTCACATCACTGGGGACCCAGAGCCTGCTCAGGAGGACTCAAGGGAGGCCTGGGGGCTCTGTCTAGGCCCTGAGAGAGAGACTTGTTTACAGACCAGGATCCCTGAAGGAGCTAGCACCCACAAGGAGATTGGCATCACCTGAGGGCAGGACAAGCTGGAACTCAAGGCCTCAGGTACAGAGCTGAGTTTCTCTCCAGTCTGCTCAGAGCAAGTCAACTAGGATTCCAGTTCCCACCTCAGGACTCAGCTGTGTCCTCCAGGAGCATCTTGGACTGGGACCCGCTAGACACTGTCAGCAGGAGAGTTGCTAGGAACTACTCACCCAACACGGTGAGCCGGGCTGAGGCCACCGCTTCTCGGGCAGCAAAAGTCACTTCCCCAGCGTGTTGGGGCTGAGCACTTTGAAGAAGCAGGGCATGGTGGCTGCCATCAGCAGTGACTATCCAGTCTGCATCCTCCGGTGAGATGGCAGTGCCATTGAGGTACCAGGAAGCTTCGCCCACAGGCACCACCTCGCTGAGCGTGCAGCGGAAGGTGGCCGGCCTGCCAGTCCGTACAGACACATCCTGTGGGGACTCCAGGAGCTCTAGGCGCCAGCCTGCAAACACACCAGCAAGGGGAGGTCGCGCAGGTCACAGTGCAGGGTGCCGAGCAGGCACATACCCACCCCCGGGGGCCTCAGTGAACCCCACCCACATGAAATCACCTCTGACGGTGAGGAATGCTGAAGTCACCATGTCCCCGACTAGGAAGGTCACCCGGCAGCTGTCCTGTGGCCGCAGGTTTTTGAGTAGCAGCAAGTGACGCAAGCCGTTCTCGAAGTAGACCACCTCTGCGTTCTCCGAGGTGCGCACCGGCTCGTCGTCCAGCAGCCAGGTGTGGGCGGCCACCTCTGGCTGCGACAGCTGGCATTCGAACAGTGCCTCCCCGCCCTCCAGTGCCTCCACGTTCTCCAGGCCTCGCACCACCGTGTTCTTGGCTGTGAAGAGACGACACAACTCAGGGCCTGTGTGCGCTCCTCCGCCAGCAGACAGAGAGCACAGGGTCCACCACAGAGCAGCCCACGCTGGGACCTTAGGGGTCACCCATCGCTACATGTGGGATGTGGTGTAATCCCACTGGTGGTGTGCTCACCTCAGAGAGAGGCTGCCCCGGCCCTGCTGTGAGCCTCGGAGCCATCTGCTAATCAACACATGCTTACCCTGCATCGCCCTACAGTCCAGGTGCAGGTGAGGCCGTGCTCCCTGCGCTGTTGCCATGGTTCCCAGGAAGCTTGGTGCACCCGGGGGGGGGGGGGACCACAGTCCACAGTCCACAGTCCACGGTGCCGACACTCCCTTCTCACTAACTCACCTGCATTGTGCACTTATGAGTCCTCATAGCAGACACACGTGGGCAGAGAGGCCTGCCCCATCTAAACTTCAGCTCATGCCAGTGCACTGATTACAACTCTGGGCCCCCACAGTTTAAGCACAGTACCCTGGTGGGAGGTGGGCCAGTGAGGGGCAAGTACGATCGACCTGCCCCAGAGAACAGGGTCTTCTCCAGAGAGGTAGATCCTGGTGGGCATTTCCCGCCAAGGAGCCACAGCATGCCACGTCCTCAACCATGCCCCTGAGCACCCCACTAGCTGAGGGGTGTCCACCAGTAACCAGACAACTCTTGTCCATCTTCTTCCTCCAGATCAGCTTCCCCTCCACCAAATGGGATACTATCACGACCACAGATGTTATGGACCAAGCAGATGGAAGGTCCCTGCTACTCTCAACAGAGACAAAGAGCAACAGCAGCCCTGAGCTGTGGCCAGGGGTGAAACGATCTCCCTCGGGCTCTCTGCCACAGTTGCTTTCAGTGTAGCCCAAGGTTTCAACACCACGGCTGGTCCTCCACTTCTCATCCCTGCCCTCACTGTCTCCACTCAGCAACCCCTGATCTTACCATGACTCTGCTCAAAATGACCAGTATCACCCCTGCCTTGTTAGCACTGCAAACCCACATTTTTGCAGTGGTAATGAGCCTCAGAACCAGGCCCTTCACCCTGGCCTGAGAAGCTCACAGTCCACCTGCCTTGCTCCAGCCCTCTACTGGTCTTAATCTCATGCCTTCACATGGTCCAGCCACAGATTTCCACATCTTGGCCCTCATCTGCCTCAGTTCCTGGCTAGGGCACTCCTGGCTAGGAGGCCCTTCATGTTTGTCCTATTAAACTGCAGTCCCTCCCACTCCGTGACCACTGGTAATCATTCAGTGAATCTAGACCTGCCCCTGCCCCCTTTCTCTCTATAGCTTGAACTCCAGCTCACCTCCAGCTTCAGGCTTCTACATAAAGTATGCAAGCACAGCTAAATGAAGGGCCTAGCGGCTGAGACCTGCAGTCCAACATCCCTCTTATTACACACACACACACACACACACACACACACACACACACACACACACACACGTATACAGGGTATCATCACAGAGCAACTGCTATGGGAATGCAAGCCTGTCCAGAAAGGGAACATACTAGGATGTAAATCTATAATTTTAAGATTCAGCCTACCTTGTCTGCTGCAGACCACAGCCTCACCCAAGGGTTAGGTCTGAAGCTGAAGGCTGCCCCATCTGCGGCCCCTTCTCACAAGACACTCACCCCTCACACATGCATCTGCCACCTGCCTCCTCCCAGAGTTTCTCCCTGCTATTCTGGAGCCTTTGGGAACAACCTCCACCCAGGTGCTCTCCTGCCGCCACCCCCACATTATAGGATGGGGTAGAGGAGGAAAGCAGGGATCTGGGAGGTGGGAGTCAGGTCCTGGTGCAGCCAAAGCGAAAGCCCCCTGCTGTGACTGTGCTCAGACCTCTGCCACCTCACGGTTTTACTCTTAAATCTCACTCCTCTGGTGCCTGACTTTTGTCCCATCACACTGGAGGCATCCTTGAAGGTCCCGGCTTTGGCTGCCTGCCATCTCCCCATCACAGGCCAAGCCTCATCAGACCCTGCCTATCCTGGCCTGCCACCCTCCCCTCCTGGCACAGCTTGAGCCTCGCTGTGGCTGCCGCCGGGTCCTGGCTGCTAGCCGGGCGGCCTCACCTTGCACTTGCAGCAGGGCCACCACTCGGGTGCCCGCAGCCTCACAGGCATAGATGCCGCTGTCGCAGGGCAAGGCCGGCCTGAGGGTCAGCCTGGCCACGTTCCAGTCCTGCTCTATGATGACCCGGCGCCCGTCGGCACGCACCTCCTGCTCATCCCTCTTCCATGTGGCCTTCACGGGCCGGGAGTACTGGCAGAGGAGCTCGGCCGTGCCATCCTCCTCCACCACCAGGTCCTGCATGGCACTGACCACTTCCACTGTAGGATCTGTCGGCCGACACCCCGGGACACGCGTTAGGCGCAGCAGTAACGCCAGACCCCCTTGCCAGTGCAATGTGGTGTCAGAAGCAGCAAGTTCAAACCAGGCAAGCAGGGAGCCGCAGGACTGGGAGAGGGGCGGGTGTGCAGCGTTGATCTGCATGTGGCAGCTCAGGTGATCGGCTTCGCTGGGGCTTGGTGCTGAGAAGGGTCCCACAAGTGACTCCTGCGTGGACGCTCTGCCCCAGCCCCATGTTTCAAACCAAGAAATGCAAGACTTAGCTTCAACTGCACGGTGATGGGCTAGGCTGTGGCTAGGACAGACACACACTGGAAGATGACCTCTACGTGATCAGTGAGGACCAGTAGGGTGGCCATGAGCTCACTGTCAAGGCTGTGGTTCCAGAAGAGAAGGACACACGGCCCCACCGGCCACACATGGTCCCTCCACCCTCAGCATATGACCCTGTTGAACTGGTCTCTATCCAGTCCTCCAGGCTGGGCCACCTCCCCCAGTGCAAACTTCTGCTCAGCACTCTGCAGAGGACAGAACAGCCCCTCCATAACACCCTCAGACCCCCAACACCCAGCTGCCCAGCCCAGCTTGACCTCTCTATGGGGATCCTGAATCTCCTAGTATCATATACACCCCCCAAACCAGAGCCACCTAAAATGATTGCCTTGTCTCCTCTCCCACTTGTTGAAATGGTTCTTAACAAACATGGTTCCCCCTCTAAAACCAAACACCCCAAAATTTATACACAGGATATGAGTTGCTTTTCTAATCTTAAGAAAAATTAAATGCCAATCATCGAAGGGAAGGAAGTTGGAGGTATCCTATGTCCTATATCTGTTACACCCTTAGTCTCACTCTCTGGCTCTGGGAAAGATGACTTGATCCCCAGCCCCTAGCACCATGTTCAAGTGTCTGTGCACCAGGCAAAGCAGGGGACCCGGAGGCCTCTACCAGAAGTAGGGGCGTGGGCCTTCCCCTCAGCCAGCCCCTCCCACATCCACGACAGGTACAGTCAGAGTCCCAGGCAAGATGCTGTGGCCTTGAGTCAGAAGAAAAGCTTCTGAAAAGCCTGCTCTCACCTTCCATCCTGCCCTCCAAAGGTGCCCTATGTTTGTGGAGGGAGACAGAGAGCCCCAGCCAGGGCAGGTGGCAGCCAGGTGGACAGTGCCTTGGATCCTACTGACAGACAGGGGGCAGACTCTACCTTCTCTTTCACTTCTTGCCTGAGTCTGCTCTTATCACCAAACAAGGCAGAGCAGGACGCTGCCACCCAGCCTCACAGCTGCTCCACAGAGAGCACATGAGGATGCTATCCAGTCCAGGCCACAAGGTGTCAGCCTTGTTCTGACCCTGACTCATGCCCAGAAGCCTGCAGGAGACATGCGAGGTGGGAGCAGAAGCGCCAGCATGGGGACGAGGAAGCCTATCGGCCAATACCTTTGATCAACAACTTGGCCGTGGAGACCAGAGGCCCTGCCCGGTAGGTGATGGTGCCCGAGTCAGCGACCCCCAGGCCTGAGAGAGTCAGGGAGTGGAGGGTCCCCTCATGCACAGCGATGGTGCTCTGGGGGCTGTCCTGAAGCAGGGTCCCATCCAGCCACCAGCGGGCCTCTGGCCCACCAGCACGAGACACCTCACAGGAAAAGGTGGCCACCTCCCCCGCGAAGACATCCACGTTCTGCAAACCACGCACCAGGCGCAACGCTGCCTCTGCGTGACAGGACAAGAAGAAGGGCCTGGGATGACGACCCTAGGGTCCTTACAGGAAGAGCCACCCTGGGGTCACCTTGGGGTACATGTAAGCAGGGGTCCCCCTGGGGTCCATCTGGTCAAGGGTCACCCTGGGACCTGCCTGCTCAGAAGCCACCTAGGGCCATGCTGAGGTCCAGTAAATCCCCAGCCTGAAGTTGGGGGTTGGGAATCACCTGTGGCAAGCAGCCCCCAGTGCACAGACTGAGATGTGGAAGTTCCACTCCCACCATGCTGCGCCCTCTCTCCTGGACCCAACCCACTTCTGGACTCGGCCAGTTTCAAGGAGAGCTGGAAGAGCAAGGAGGCAGAGCAGACATGCCTCAGGCCTGGTGGCTGGGAACCCTTCTGGCTGAGTCAGCACAGGGTGGGGAGCGGGTAGGGAGGGGAGGCTATTTATTATAAGCCCTCCTGGAAAAAGGATCTGCCTCGGGAGGCAAGCATCTGTCCCTGCAGTCCCATCCCAAGAACGTGACTTCTCCAAGTGTCTCTCAGGTCCTTTCAGCCCTAAGATCCCAGGACTCTAGCACATGCTGTCGCAGAGAGGGGTTAAATTCTAGAAGCTTCCTGGACTCCACAGACTCTGCCTTCCCTGAGCCCTCCATACTCCCCTTCCCAATCCGTCTTCCTTTCCCTAGGCTCGCAGTCTCACTCAAGGCAAGGGCAGTGACAGGGAATGACAGCACTCAGGGACCCCTCTTCCCTCACAGTCAAGCCCCCACTCCACCACTGCAACAGAAAGAAGACTTGAGAGTAGCCTGGGAGAGCCAAATGCTTCTTCCACCGCCTGCTGCCTCAGGTTGAAGAATGGGACGCTGTTAACCTTTCCCTCACCATCTCCAGAGTTGAGGGCCTACGCAGACCTCTCTACACTTACCTACACTATGCCTTCCGAAGAGACACAAGCTGACTCACAATTGACAACATCCAGGTTTCTCCATCCACCTCCTCGCATAGCTCCCTGCCGCTAAGGTTCCCAGGCAGATAGTTAATGAGGGCAGGTGGAGAGAGTTTCCAGAGCTGCCAGATACCCTCAGCACAATGCCTCCTCCTGTTCCCAGCAGATGCTCTCATCGGGAATTCCTCAGCAACCTTCCTCTCCACACTCTTCCTCTGTGCTCTGGGCACTTTGACACAGCGGCACTGTTAACACGTTTCCTAGATGATTCTTCCCAAGTGCTCCTGACTGGACCTCGGCCCACTGCTCTGCTTACCCTCTAGCTTTATGCAGTGCTGGTTCCCGAGCTTGCCTGGCACATGACCTAGCACAGCACCAACTCAAGCACATTCTGCCGCGTGCTTTGCCACCCAGACTTAGGTTTGACAGTAAGGGTTGAGGGTCGCCAGCTGTAAGTGAACAGGCACTCTTAGGCTGGGAATATTTGACCTACAGTACAACTTAAACACAGCCTTCACCTGGACATGCAAGGCCCCCCAAAACAGCCCTCCTAACACATCACCACACAGCTGCCCACCCCAGAGTTCATTAGACCTTTCCTGATCCCTCTGCACATGACATCAAGGAAATTCCTCCTCTTTCATCACTCAAGAGCACTTGTATATTGGTTTTCAATTCCATAAACCACAGTACCGACCACATTTGTCCAGCCTTTTAAAACTCAGGGGGCGTCTGAGATGTCAAAACATACTCTGTCTCCATGTCCAATTCCATTATCAGATGGACGGCTGCCTCATGGTATCCTTGCACACAGCCCATCTCACGGACAGTGAGTTGACCAAGGTAGGTGATTTAAAGGTTTCGTCAATAAATTAAGGAAAGGATAAGTGAGTGGATAAGTGGATGGTAGATGGTGAAAGGATGGAGGATGGTGAACGGATGGAGGATAGTGGATGGATGGAGGATGGTGGATGCATGAATGGACGACGCTGGATGGATGGGCAGAGGGATGGTGAATGGATGATGATGATGAATAAATGTTAAGGAGATGAATAGATGAAAGGTGGATGACAAATGGATGGATGAAGAACAGATAGTGGATGGATGGACAGTACGCAGATCAACAGGTGGATAGATTAAGAGTGAACGATGGATAATGATGAATGAGTGGTGGATGAGTGGTGGATGTCTCATGGATAGATGATCTTCAATAGACGGATAACAGTTGAATGAATAGTTGGTAGATAGATGGATGATGGATAGATGAGGACCAATTTGAAAACCAGGAATAGAACAGTAAGGGAGAGGCTAACCAGTTTTGCAGGCAAAATCTAACCCAAGTTGAAGACAAAGTCTCTACAATCTTCTTTGAAGGCCTGGAACACACACCCTCTGCATGAACAGCCCATGTGTTACAGATGACCTGCTGCATCAGCACCGTAAGAAACGCAGGGTGCCTTAGTGTGGATGCGTGCCACGTGCTGTACTCCTGCCAGACGGGTAGATGTGTGGAAGACAAAGTCTTCACCATCCCACCTTAGCGGCCTCATGCGGTCGTCACTTTCAAGGACTAGGCTTTAAAGTCATTGCTGAAAGTCTTGAGTTCCTGGCTACACTCCTCCAACAGCTGTCAGTGGACACTGCCCCCTGGGGTTGACACTCTCATGGCCAGCAGTGGCTGGGCCAGGCATGGGAGAGAGTTGCTCACCTGTGACCTTCAACTGGGCTTCTGAGCTACAGGAACCCACTTGGAAACTGACAGTTCCAGCATCCTCAGAGGTCACCTAAGGACACCAAGATGGAGATGCTGAGGCAGACCCATCCCGACCAAGAGGGCTCTGTGGCCTCCCCATGGGGCCATCCCACCTCTGCTCACAGGCCCAGGTTAGGGGCTCAGCACCTCCCCTGTCACCCTCTCCAGGAAAGGCATTTCTGAAGGAACAGAGGCGCTTCCTGATACAGCGGGAACCTTCCCCCAGGGTTCTCCCCTCCCAAGTCCCACGGTAGGAGGGACCCCAGAAGCCCTGTGAGAAGGTAGGGTCCCCATGAGAGCACCTTGTGCAGGGTGAGCGAATGGAGCACGCCTTCCTCCACTGCAATGTCATTCATCTCATTGGCCTGCAGGGGCACCCCGCCCAGAGCCCAGCGGGCCTCCTGGCCTGGAGCTCTGGACAGCCGGCACCAGAAGCGAGCGTCCTGACCCTCACTGAGCTGTACATCCTGCAGAGGCTCCAGGATGGTCACCTCTGGTACTGGAGAGAATACAGGCACAGCTCACGTCTTGGGGTCCCTGTTACCCCTTTCCAGTTCCTGAAGACTCAGCATAAGGGAGACGGGTTCTCTGTGGCTGAGGCTGTGGCCCCCAGAGGTGGTGAAGATGATCACTGGCCGGTCTGAGTCCCTGATAAGCCAACCAGCCTCTGCTCCAAGCCACGCCCAGACCCTCAGATGCCAGGTCTTATTTTCTACTCTGACATCTTGCGCCACCCTGAGACTGCCCACCTGTGGGCCTCTCTCCCTCCACCAGGAGTCCCCAATTAAAGGGGTCTTTGGTTGTCAGTCTACATTCCTCCAAATCCTGTGAGCTTCAGCAGAGTGAGAGGGGGCCCCACAATGCACCCTTAGAGCCACTACCTCGGACAGTGAGCTGGGCAGAGGAGGTGCTGAGGCCCACGTGGAAGGAGACAGTGCCCGCGTCCTCAGGGGTGACGCCCTTCAGCTTCAGCGTGTGGGTGCAGCCGCCCTGCATGCCCACCTCAGTCACCTCATTGCTCTGCAGCGGCAGACCTTGGAGGCGCCACTCCACGCCTGTGGCCACGGGCTTTGACAGTTCACAGCGGAACTCCACGTCCTCGTCCGCCTGCACCTCGGCATCCACCAGCCCCCGCACAATGGCCACCTCGGGCTCTAGGGGCAGTGAGAGAAGACCTGTGACCAGCCACAGCTCTAACTCTACTCCTCCTCCAGGAAGCCTGCTGGCCACCCCACACTCCTGCCACGGCTTCATCTACCCACAGCAATTGCCATCAAGTTTGTAGGCCTCCAACCACCTCGTGGGCAGAGACTGGCCAAGGCACTCCTGTTTGCAGGAAGTGTGCGAAGGGTCTGTCCTAGCCCTGCAAATGGCCCTGCTTTGGCTGGCCAGGGTCCAGGGAAGGTGATATCGTCAAGATGCACCAATGTCCGCCCTCTGGAGTTCAGGGACTTTGAACTTCAGTTGTGCCACACATTTCTTCCAGGGTGTTAGTATATGAAGGTAACACACAGGGGCTCTGGGCATGCCCCCCACCCAGGCACCCCATGAACAGCACTTGGCAAGAGAAGTGTTTGAGGCAGGCCAGTTATGTCCCTAGATCAACTGTAAGGGTGTACTGGGGACATTCAGGCTCACCTTTGACCTTGACAGAGGCCGAGGTTCTCTGGCCACCCACCACACAGGTGTACTCGCCCGTGTCCTTGGCCTCGAGCCCACAGATCAGCAGCTCACATGTGGCTCCCTGGCATCGCATCTCATACTTGGGGCCTCCGCGAAGTTCCACGCCCTCCTTGAGCCACTGAACGGAGGCACCTGGCTCGTTCCCGCTCAGCTCACAGCACAGCCGGGCCACGCCACCCACCTCCTGCTCCATGCTCTGCAGCCGGGTCTTGAACTGGGGCCTGGGGACTAAGGAATCAGAGAGGTGTTAGGGCCAGTGGTTAAGCTGGAGAGTGGCCAGGCGGTGGGAAGCTGCGGGGCTCACCACGGACAGAGAGGCTGGCTGTGCTCTGCCGCTGCCCTGCGTCACAGGTGTAGTCCCCGGCGTCCTCCTGCTCGGTGCTGCGTACCCGCAACTCGACGCGGGCACCGTCCTGCACCATCTGGTACTTGGCACAGGGGAAGAGCTGCAGGGAGCCCTTGCGCCACTCCACGCTTGCTCCCGGCTGGCTCAGCTCACAGCACAGCCGTGCTGTCGCACCCTCGTCCACTTCCTGGGGCTGCAGCTCCCGAAGAAAGCACACAGGCGCAGCTACACGTGGGACAGGGAGAGTGAGGTAAATCCCAGCTCTCGGCACACGACGTCCAGAGCACACAGCAGAGCCAGCCTCAGGCATAGGTGTCCCTCCAGTCATTCTCCAGGAGGGCAGGAGCAGGGCTCACACGGGAATGACCCGTCAGGGCCTCTGGGCCTGGCTGCAGGCACGTCTGGGAGACGAAGCCCACCTGTGACCGTGAGGGTGGCACTGGTGCTCTGGGAGCCGCAGGTGCAGCTGTACTCCCCGGCATCCTCCCGGCGCAGGTCCTGCAGCAGCAGCTCTGCCACAGGCCCCTGCTTCCGCAGCTCCAGCCGCCCGCCGGCCTGCAGTTCCAGCCCACCCTTGCTCCAGCTCACAGTGGTGTCCGGAACAGTCAGCTCACACCGAAGGCTGGCTGTGGAACCTTCCTCAGCCTGTAGGCTCTGCAGTGGGGTTCTGAACACCCCTTGTTGGGCTGCAGGATGGGGTGAGGCAGAGGGGAAGCAGAGGGTCAGCTTCAAGACCATGTCTAATACCAGCAGCAAGGCCACCCACAACCACCCATCTCTGCGGTACCTAGACCAGCACGACTCAAAGGAGAGGGCCAGGAGTCTGGGTTTGCTCAACAGCCAAAGGAGGACCTGACCTGGGGCCAAGAGCTGTAGGTCTAACTCACAGCATTCATCACACAAGCTTTCCAAACAAGCAGCTCCCAAGCAGAGCTATGTTCCTCTGATTATCATAGCAGGGTGAATCCCTTTCACACCCCCACAGAGATATGCCTCTCACAGCCTCTAGGGTAGGGCTGAGTCTCCTCAGACAGCCCAGGGCAGACGACCTTCCACAGATCTCCCACCATTCCAGGGAAGATCACTCAGGGGAGGGCCAAGTCACTTCAGTCTCCCAGGAGAAGCTCTAAGGCTAGTCAGCAACCACGATGGGACCATGTTCTATCAGACTCTGCAGAGCAAAGCTGTGTCCCCTCAGTCATCAAGGCAGGTGGGTCACTGCTCTACCCAAAAGAGACTTGTCTAGATAGCAAGTGGGTGAATAGAGCTACAAAATGGGTAAGGAGAGGACAGGGAGAGACTAGCAGGTCAAAGGAGGGAAGAAGACTAAGAGGAATGGTTGGAGATGCAGAGGACGGCAAGGACCAAGCCGAGCACACATGTCCTGTCCAGCTAAAGACAAGCACCATGGCTTGAGGGGAAGACAAGATGCACATGAATTATGTGGAAACACAACAGTGCAGACACCGAATCAGTGGTTCGTGTGGCCACACACAGTTTTTACCCTTCACAGTGAGTATGGCTGAGGTCCTCTCCTGCCCGCACACACACAGATACTCCCCAGCATCTGTCACAGCCAGGCCACGGATCTCCAGCTCACAGGTGGCTCCGTCCCAGCATCTGTCACAGCCAGGCCACGGATCTCCAGCTCACAGGTGGCCCCGTCCTGCCTCAGCCTGTATCTGTCCCCATCACGGAGGAGCTCAGAGCCCTTCTTCCACTGCACAGGGGCCGTCTTGCTCAGCTCACACCGGAGCGTGGCCATCGCCCCTTCTGCGGCCTCCTCGTTCTTTAGAACTTGTATGAATCTGGCTGGGAGGGCTGGGAGGGCCAAAGGGACACAGAGAACATCAGTTTGCCTGGGGAACTTTGTGTACAGAGAATACATTCATTGGAAACACATAAACACACAGAAGAGAAAGGAATGCACAAGCAAGCCAACGAACAAACAGTTAGGTGCACAACCAGTCACAGGAGAACCATCAAAGAGGGATACGCAGGAGGGTCACGAGTGTCAAGATATCGATTGGTCAAGACGTCAGGGGCTGGGGACACACAAGGGACTCTAGTCAGATGGAGACCTGACATCTAGGTAGACTCACGGGAGACTGGACAGTGATGGAGGAAGAAGGTAATGACAAGGGACATCAAGGTGCAGATACCAAGCCACAGATCTATGCAATGTTTACCCTTCACAGTGAGCACGGCCGAAGTCCTCTCCTGCCCACATACACAGATATATTCTCCAGCATCTGCCACAGCCAGGCCACAGATCTCCAGTTCACATATGGCCCCATCCTGCCTCAGGCGGTACTTATCCCCAGTGCTGAGGGCATCCAGGCCCTTCTTCCACTGCACAGGAGCCATCTCGCTCAGCTCACACCGAAGTGTCGCCGAGGTCCCTTCTGTGGTCTCTTCACTCTTCAGGCCTTGTATGAACCTGGCTGGCAGGGCTGGGAGGGCCAAACGGACACAGAAAACATCAGACTGTCTGGTGCCCTTGGTGCACTGGACACATTGAGAGCTGCTAAAAGTACACAAACTCCCAAAGGAGTGAAGGAATGGACAAGCCAGCATACAGACAGACGGGGAGGGAAGCAAACAGCCATGACAGGACAAGAAAAGATGGCGAGCAAGTACTTCAGAGACATTAATATCACAACACTGATGGGGATCCAGGAGGCCCCAGGGGACATGAGTCAGCAGAGCAACAGACATCTAAGATCTCAAGCAGCCTTGGCATAACGGACGAATGGTGATGGTGTGGAGACATGATAGTCTCCAAGACCACATTCAATCTTTACCCTTCACAGTGAGCATGGCTGAGGTCTTCTCCTGCCCGCACACACACAGATACTCCCCAGCATCTGTCACAGTCAGGCCACGGATCTCCAGCTCACAGGTGGCTCCGTCCTGCCTCAGCCTGTATCTGTCCCCATCACGGAGGGTCTCAGAGCCCTTCCTCCACTGCACAGGAGCCATCTTGCTCAGCTCACACCGGAGCGTGGCCATCGCCCCTTCTGCGGCCTCCTCGTTCTTTAGAACTTGTATGAATCTGGCTGGGAGGGCTGGGAGGGCCAAAGGGACACAGAGAACATCAGTTTGCCTGGGGAACTTTGTGTACAGAGAATACATTCATTGGAAACACATAAACACACAGAAGAGAAAGGAATGCACAAGCAAGCCAACGAACAAACAGTTAGGTGCACAACCAGTCACAGGAGAACCATCAAAGAGGGATACGCAGGAGGGTCACGAGTGTCAAGATATCGATTGGTCAAGACGTCAGGGGCTGGGGACACACAAGGGACTCTAGTCAGATGGAGACCTGACATCTAGGTAGACTCACGGGAGACTGGACAGTGATGGAGGAAGAAGGTAATGACAAGGGACATCAAGGTGCAGATACCAAGCCACAGATCTATGCAATGTTTACCCTTCACAGTGAGCACGGCCGAAGTCCTCTCCTGCCCACATACACAGATATATTCTCCAGCATCTGCCACAGCCAGGCCACAGATCTCCAGTTCACATATGGCCCCATCCTGCCTCAGGCGGTACTTATCCCCAGTGCTGAGGGCATCCAGGCCCTTCTTCCACTGCACAGGAGCCATCTCGCTCAGCTCACACCGAAGTGTCGCCGAGGTCCCTTCTGTGGTCTCTTCACTCTTCAGGCCTTGTATGAACCTGGCTGGCAGGGCTGGGAGGGCCAAACGGACACAGAAAACATCAGACTGTCTGGTGCCCTTGGTGCACTGGACACATTGAGAGCTGCTAAAAGTACACAAACTCCCAAAGGAGTGAAGGAATGGACAAGCCAGCATACAGACAGACGGGGAGGGAAGCAAACAGCCATGACAGGACAAGAAAAGATGGCGAGCAAGTACTTCAGAGACATTAATATCACAACACTGATGGGGATCCAGGAGGCCCCAGGGGACATGAGTCAGCAGAGCAACAGACATCTAAGATCTCAAGCAGCCTTGGCATAACGGACGAATGGTGATGGTGTGGAGACATGATAGTCTCCAAGACCACATTCAATCTTTACCCTTCACAGTGAGCATGGCTGAGGTCTTCTCCTGCCCGCACACACACAGATACTCCCCAGCATCTGTCACAGTCAGGCCACGGATCTCCAGCTCACAGGTGGCTCCGTCCTGCCTCAGCCTGTATCTGTCCCCATCACGGAGGGTCTCAGAGCCCTTCCTCCACTGCACAGGAGCCATCTTGCTCAGCTCACACCGGAGCGTGGTGGTGGCCCCTTCCGTGGCCTCCTCACTCTTCAGCCCTTGTGTGAACCTGGCTGGCAGGGCTGTGGGAGCCAAATGGACATGGAACACATCAGACCATCTGGAGGACTTGGTGGATGAGACACGGACACGCACACACACGCTCCCAAAGGAGAAAAGGGAGGACAACAAATGAACAAATGCAGAGGGACAACAATGGTCATGGGGAAAACAGAGGTCAAAGAGGCAGAGACACAGCCTCATGAACACACATCCATTGATTTAAAAGGTTGTGGAGCTGGAAGAACTCAGGAGACCTCAGTCAGATGGGAAGCTGACGGATGCAGGAAGGAGGTGGTGACACAGGACACCATGATGCAGACAGCACGTCATTGATGCGTGTGGCAGAGTGTGCTGACGGATGCAGGAAGGAGGTGGTGACACAGGACACCATGATGCAGACAGCACGTCATTGATGCGTGTGGCAGAGTGTGTGTCTTTACCCTTCACAGTGAGTGTGGCTGAGGTCTTCTCCTGCCCGCACACACACAGATACTCCCCAGCATCTGTCACAGCCAGGCCACGGATCTCCAGCTCACAGGTGGC